CAAGAAAGAAACTAGATGCTCAGTGAAAACCAGTCAGTATTGTAGTTTCCTCTCCCACTACAATCGTTGCGACCTAAGAAAGCATTCCCGGTTCTTCCCCTCCAATATGTCCAGCCAAACTCTTCCTACTGTGCCATCCAAAAGGGGTATGTCAAAACCAACACAACTCGCCAGCAACCGAATGAGTCGAATTTCAGTAATTGCTTTTATTTTTCACATCTCGCAATACGAGTAAGTACCAGCATACAGCGAGAACGCACAACATCGGTGCCTCAACGGTGCGAGCCAGTTTTAAGTTTTGAAAGTCAATACTGCCTGTTTGGGACTCCGCCCTTTCCCCCTAGCCGCTGGATCCGGAATCTGCTCATGAGCAGGCAGAATCTGCGCACCACCTCAATCTCAATGCGGTGACCTTCGCAAGTCCATTTTGGCACTTCGTACGCCGAGCTGTTGCCGGATCTCATCCACTTTACAAGCAGTGCATATGGTGCGAATCATTTTTTCCGCAAAAAGTAAGCTGCGCAATTGGTACTCAAAATGCAATCTGTTAAGAAGAGACAGAATGCGAAAAGCCATAGCAATTTTGAGTCTTTCTAAATCAGGCTTTCGCAGCCAAAATACGAACTGGAGCAGAAACAGAAACGCGTGCTAGAAGGAATGCATGGTTGTGTGTGTGTGTGTGTGTTTTTAAATTAAAATAGACTGTAATGATTAGGAATGGCTGAATGCGCGACTAGACATGGAGTACATGTTTCTGGCCCGGTGACGTATGTTTCGAGTAGCAAAAGCGTCACAGCTTCATATTCAGAGCCTAAAAGCATAGGCACGGCTTTTGGGCACTCTGCTGCACAAAATGTGGTACTAGAAAATATACAACAGTTAGATAAACTCGAAGACAAAACCATCTGGCGGAATGAAAGCAAAACAGACCTCTTCGACGCCATCGACTGGATGTGCAAAGTTTGCTTGCACCGCATTCAGCGCATCAATGCCATTAACCAAGGGGCTATGATCAGAAGTTTTCGATTTTGCCAAACAGCCACTCGGAGCAAGCAGCGACACTCGACTGCGTTTCACGTACGGTTGCGTGGGAGTCTGCAAGTGGCTCACGCTTCAGTACTGTATAAAGAATTTGCACTTTTCTTGCGAGCAAAAAAGCTTAATTGCTGAGAAATTACCAAGCAAGGAGGTACATCCATATACGTTACAGGCTCGCCTCCTTCAACTGTCGTCGGCGGAGGCGCTGCTGGCTCGTCAACTTTCGGTGAGCTACGTCCGATGCCCAACTGCTGCTCAAGCCAGCCCTGAGCAG